ATTCCAGTTCCTTCAGCCTGCAGCAAATCGTAGTTTTTCTTCGGTCGCTATACAGATATGTATTTCTCACGATTCATTATCAAAACGTAAACTCCAAATTATATAGTATAGGTAGTTGTTTAAGCCGAATAATCTTGAGCTATATAATTGAAACGATAGAGATAGGTTTTGCATCTTGCTAGACAAAACATCTTTGCGGATGCGGTCAACGGCAGCGAGCACCTCAATTTTGTTAAAGCTTGTGTGCTTTGCATATTATTGTTTATCAGCCCCTACATCTTCTCGAGCCCGGTGAAGTGGTGTGCCAGTCGCACGGAGCTATCGAGCCACATCCAACTGAAAAAGACTTAATCACCTAGGTTACCCCGCATAAGCCGGGGCAAAATCGTGAGCAGACATCGGCTCTCAAGCTTAAATGAAATAAGTAGAACAGCCCGGAGACTATGAGATCAGCATGCAATAAACCGCCAACGTTTACAAAGAGAACGACGGTGAGAGCTTGTGGTGTTGCGAGAGCCATCGTTCAATTAGTGCACACGGCGAACGACGTCTCCTTGATAGGGCGTGTACGCTAGCTTCTTTTCCGTCGTGAGTCACTCGGCGTAATTAATAAATACGCACGATCTCACCCCGTTGCTCATTCCATTCGAAGCGCCGAGCACAAGATGCTCTTCCATGGCGAATTATCACCGGAGCCTATTTCTCCGGCAAATCTCAGAGTCACCATGAACGGAAGTGTAAGTCATTTTCAATTATTATAAGGATTAGATTTTTCAAGCGGATCAGCATGATCGCCAGGAGAACTTTCATATAACAATAGATGTTAATCCGCACTAAATATAAAATATAAATACTCAGATTATTATGGCAGTAAATCTAAGTTATTAGAATTTTGCATTATTAAAGCATATGTTTAAAAGTTCTGTTTTTATGGCAAAGACATCACCTTAACTAGTTATCGAAAAATATTTTTTGCTTATTCTATGCCCCTCAAAACTGATAGCTTCATATATTTGTATCCTCCTTATTTTACAATCTTTGAATTACCATTTGGCACCAAAGAGACGAAATATCGTCTACTGCGTGGGATTCATATATCACACCGAGAGATTTGCGCACACTTAATGTTCCTATGGCAACAAACGCACGCCAGCAGCAGTCATGGTTGTTCTCACGGCTTGGCGGAGTGAAGAGTCCTTTATCCGTCTGATCACATTTTTCTAGCGCCGGTTTTTATATGTGCCATAATTGGCAGTTGTGTATCGATAGCAACCGCTCGGGCCGCTGCTTAAGACTCAATGTCGGCATTATATGGCGAAAAATTTGTGAAACTCAAATCGGCGGATTAGCTGAAGAAGTAAATATCATTCGACCAACTTGCACATAATGAGCTAACTAGTCTTGATTTCCATTTTTTTCAAATTCTCGCCAAACAAACGACATTCACACGACATCTAGTAAGTCAAAAATAATGGTGCACATCTGCCCCGATTATCTGCAATTACATCTTAAGCTCCAGAAAAAGAGCAAAGAAACGCTTATCCGTTAATTTGCGTGGACAGGTGCTGGCTAACCTATTTGTCGAATCAAATATCTATGAATGTAGAGATCAAAAGACAGATTTATAAGCGTTTCTCAAAACAAATGAGACCATAGTTCTTTACTGTGACACGAGCCAATATAATTATGAGAATATACTCGTGAAGAATATTATTAGAAACTCAAAAATAAACATTAGAAATTGTTTCCAGCCGGAAATGGATAACGTCAAAGCTACTACTGAGCAGCTTCGTCTTGAAGCTCAAGTTGTTCGTAAGAAGGTGTCGGAGTGCTCAAAAGAGTATGAAATCAATCGAAAACCAATAACCGAATAATCCAATTTTCAGTCTAATGGACTATTGCGAGAAGAACAAAGCAGGAGATATGTTGGTGTCTGGGCCAACCGATCAGCACAACCCCTTCCAGGAGAAGAAAAGCTGCGAGATTCTATAGAAGTCACCTCGATATGCCATTTTCGAAGATCATGCAGACCTCGAGGAACAAAAAACTTCAAAAACCCAAAAAATTAAATAATCTAAAAACCCAAAAAAATTGAATAATCTGTAAAAACCATAAAAAAAAGTTAAATAATTAAAAAAAACTAAAAAAAATTAATTGTCATTATATTACGTATTTGTGCTCTGGCTGGAAGAAAATCCGATCCGACGTTTTAAAAAAAAATGATGCGTTGTAAAAAAATAGAAAAAAAAACCAAAAAATCCATAAAAAAAACTCAAACTCAAAACATTTGTCAAAGATGCAGATTCTCTTTTTATTAATCAATTTAGTTCAAACCAATACCACGCCCTTCCATAGCTTAATCGACGTATTGTAACTAAAATTGTAATCACACTTACATTTCTTATGTGATCATAATATTTCAATTTTTGTATTTCAAATATTGTTTTATTGTCTATTGTTTGGGGCAGCTCCCCGTTATATATTCGTACAGTGGCGTGCAAAATAATTTGAAATTGATTCGGGAATTCGATTATATTTCCACGAAAATCTCATAAATCAACTCAAATTCAAAATATTTTTCGCATGCTTCTGGGGCAAAAATTCGCATACTCATAGTCATATGTATTACCACAAAATTCCATGATGATTCTGTGGTATTCTTGATCGGGCAATTTCTACTGTCGTTTTAGTAATTGCCCGCATTGTGTCTTCTCAATAGAAACATTAGGGATTCGTTTACTTGAAAAAGCCTTCAATGCAAAAAATGATTTCTTGTCTGTTTCTGAGGTGTCGCTTCTTCATTTTCCGATCATGACAAGAATCCATTTTTTGTATTCCGCTCGTTGCCTACATGTTTCTTCCAAATTTTACTTAGTGTCATATAGTATAGTATTGATAGCTATAATTGTTTTCTTGTATTAGTCTAATCAAAGTTGGTTATACAAGTTTATTGCAAATTTGAACCACGATTTGGTTACTTGTAATTTGCAATAAATTTGAATAACCTTGACGCTTAATGTATTATTACTTATATCATTACTATTTTCATTTGTAAACTGCCTATGTTTCAAAACCCAAATTTGGTTGAAATGGTTTTTTAAGAAAAAGAAAACCATCCATTCGACAAATTTTGAGATTTGAAGCATTTCTTTACCGGTGCCACAAATGTGATTAACTTTTTTGAAGTGTTGTTGCTATATAATTGTTGTTTATATCCATATTATTCAACATTTTTTATTTGAAGCCTGGTAGATCAAGTGTTATTGGATCTCAAAAATGCTGTTTTGCGCGCATGCTGGATCCAAAAACTTTGATCAGCAGCCTTCAAATCAATTAATCGGAGACCGTACAATTAATTACCGAGAAAACATTTTCAACAATGTTTGAGCTCCAAAGTTAAGTTAAGATTTGCTTGAACAATCGTACTTTGTTATCTTTTTTCTCTTTACGTTCCTTAGTTTTAAAAGGGCAATATTAATGTGGATTATTTTGCAACTATAAAAAAATCAGACACAATCATTTATTTTTATTAAAACTTAGTCGGATCTTTTTTTCTTCCAAATTTTTTATTTGTTTATTTTATTGTATTTATTGTTTTTTATTGCTCGAGGGATGTTTTTTTTGTTAGAGCTTCTCTAACAATTTTTTTACCCAAAGGCATGTTTTATTACAACATCATTGCGTATAAGACTAATAAACGAAATCGCATACAAACTTTTAAGGGTTTTTATTTGAAGAGGACGGATTTAATGAATTTGAGCACTAATATCAAAAGTATCAAATTCTGAAATGTGATAGTAAAGATCGTATTGAGTTCACTCATTTCCTACACACAAACGAAGTAATCGAGAAATTATGTTTGGATATTTTGATGGAAAAAAATGAAAAATATTCTAATGATGTTATGTATGCAGATAGTTTTGAGTGTATACATATAAATTATCATAGACATTTTGAAGAGACGTTCTTTATTGATTGAACTCCAACCGTTGGTGTCCAACGTCGTGGTATTCCAGTCAATTGAGCGTTTCACTAGTACACAATATAACGAGAACTGCACAAATTATTTCGCAAATGCGCTCTAATTGGTGGAAATTTAATTGATTTGAATTTTTGAGATCGTTGACAATGTATAATTTACGAGTTATATTATAATACAAAACCGATTAAATTCCATTCAAGATTTCTAAAAAAAAATAATTTAGCTCACTTTCTCTCTCGATTTTATTTAGATTTGGAAAGAAAATTTGTAAAAATTTGTTAATCTATTTCCATATATAACAGAAAACTTTGAACATTAATTTGAATAAAGAGATTTGAAAGAAGGTAATAAAATAATTTACTTTTCATAAAGATTATTCCAACATCGATTAATATAATTCATTGTGCTCAAAAAACAAAAATTCCATGCAAATACATTATAAGTAGAAGTATTATAAGCTGAAGAATACGAGGAAATTCCATGTTTTTTGGAATCATAGTAATTAACAAAATTAAGATTCTTTAAAAATTGGACAAATCTTTAGTTTACACAACTTTTCAACCAAAGTATTTTGATATATGCATTTCTGGTATTATTTTATTTAGTATGGTCTAGCTGCAAAATATGAGTAATTATTATGGGTAATACTTCTTCAATCAGAAGAATAACATTCGTAAAGTAGAAGAAAACAATAACACTTCGAACCAAAAAAAATGACATGGTGAAATTGGATTTTAGATAATGTAGAAACAGCAGATGCTAATAATAACCGGGGCTTCCTGATTTTCTCAAATTAGTATGTATAAGTATGTATATGAATAAAGCAGATTTACGAAATTAGACCATGAACATCTTCGACTACTACTGTCGCCTGTCATAAAGCACATTGAAAGTGAGGCTCCAGTAACAGATGTTTGAAATGGAAATATGGCATTTACAACAGAGTTTGAGATTTTGACAATGACCCATCATCAATGAAATTAAAAATGCAATTAAACATTTTTCGGTAGCACTTGATTTAGATTTCTCGCACCCAGTTGTCTTTAATAATTCGGCCATATTGGATATCGTTGATTGTGTTGAAGAATCGCTTCATCACTCCGTACTTGCTTACCATCGTTGGAATGTGCCACTCTTCATAGTCATCAGTCTGAAATCGTTTTTTAATACTATTTGTTTTAAGCATTTTTAGAATCCCACTTCTTTGTTATGGTAGAGAATTTTTCCGACTGGCGAAACGACGCAGGCAGTTCCTGCTCCGAACATTTCATAGAGCCTCTTTTCATCCAATGCCCTTTTTACTTCTCCCATGTTCAGGGTTCTTTCAGTCACTTTGAACTCTCCCCATTCTCTACCGAGTTCAAGCAATGAGTCTCTGGTAACTCCTGGAAGAATAAGGCCTCTGTGGAGTGGCGGCGTGATCAGCTCCAAATCGCCTTCCAAATTTTTCCAGAAGAGGAAAATGTTCATTGTTCCGACCTCGGTTAGGTCCTCGCTCTCTCCATACAACCACAAGACTTGTTGGCAGTTCTTGTTGGCGGCTTCCTTTCCTACCCAGATAGTTGGAGCATAGTTGCTAAACAAACGAACTTTTCCTGAGATTTATGATTTGTTTTTCCTTACCATCCCATTTTGTAAGCTCCAACTCCTCCTGGGAAAGCGCGAATGAATCGAGAATCAGCGAGAAGACTGACTGGTTGGAAACCAGTTGCGTAGTAAGCTCCTACTGGTCCAGTGATGACGAAAAGCTTAGCAGTGTTAGCGCATCCAACACCAAGGGTTGGCTAAATTTTCATGTTCCATATAATTCGGTAATTGAGATTCTCACGTCGGTTCCAATCAAAGTTGGTCGCAAGTAAAGGGAGCAGACATCGGAATATGGGACCCATTCCTGATCAATTCGAAGCATATCGCATATAATTTGAATCAATTCTTCTCCATCGAAATCCTATAAAATTCATTTAATTCCACTATTTTTAATTTATTTTTTGCTAGTGAATTTTCTAGAAAGCGCGAAGAAAAAAAACACAAATTGTTCTTAAGTAATTAGGTCTCACTAGATGAACCAGTTGATTAGATTGCATGCGTTTTTTTGTTTTTCTCTTCTTGAGGCTCTTTCTATGCTCGAAAAGCAATATCAGATAATTGGGTCTTGCGTCACTTTTCCGTAATGAAAAAAAATGAAGAAAGCTTACTGGAAGAGCAGCGCGAAGAGCAGTTCTTTTCATGCGAGCCATATTCATTTCTGGGCGGAACAATCTGATTTTATTGTCGACTCCTCTGTACGCCTTCATTCCTTCGAACAACTCACTGGCGTAATGGAGGACCTGGAAAACGAATACTTGACAGCAAAGTTTTTCGGTGTTTGCTCAAAGATTCTTTTTTTTTTCATCTTTCGTTCCACTCCGTTTTGAACTTAACAATGAAATGGATAGAAAAGTTGTAGGACAGTTGTTGATTTCGTTGCAAAATGCTGACGCAACAATCTTTAAAGATCGAAAAAAAACGCGATAAGAAATCTTTTGGCGGTAACACGAGTGATTCAAATTTTTAAAAATATGTTAATATACCTTTGCACCTGGATGGATGCGGAACTCGCGAAGTGGTTCTATTCTTGGCGCCATCCATCCTTTATCTTGGTCCCAGTCGCACTGCATCATGTGGTCTGCATAAGTGTGACCAAATTTCAATGCAGTTGGCTGCAAATATTTGTTACAGCTGCACATCGATTATTCGGTTTTCTTACGTCTTTCGGCTTTGGGAGCATGAATTGTGGGCTGATCACTTCGATTTCAAGATCCTTATGCTGAAATGATAATGAAGATTGAAGTGGACTAGCATTTTTTATTCTCATACATAGAAAGTTCTTTTTGGATCATATTCCTGAGCGGGGACCGCTCTGGCGGCTGCGGTGGCCATCATTCTTGGCGAAACGGTAGCAATGCGAATCATTCTCGAGAGAAGTGCTGGCATTTTGTCTTATTGACTGAAAAATGTTGAATTTATCTATATCTTCTAGAGGCGCAGCTCTCGCGAAAAATATTCGAAATTGTGTCTGGCAGACACCGGCAGACGTGTGTCTATGTGTGACTGATGAAAACAGCTCGAAGGGTTCAAGGGGTGGGGCGCGCGCAGAGCAAAGTGAGCAGAGAGAGCAAGATGGGAGAGCATTGCGAGCAAAGCTATGGAATGGATAAACAATGTTGCGTACTCGGAGGGTGTTGAGAAATTGCTAAACGAGGAGTTGGAGCAGAAGCGGGTGAAGGAACAATAAAAAAATGGAGGTTCGCTTTTTGTAGCGCACGCCACCGGCCCCCATGAGGCGCAGAACCGCCGACTGCCTGCCTGCCTTTCTGTCGACTATCTGCCCCGTCGATCGGTCCAAAGACGCGTCGAACACGCCCACCGCGTCTCGCTGGGCGCTGACCTCGAAAAACGAAGCTTTCCGTTTTGTATCGGTCCCTCCCGCAAGGATTATTGAAAAACAATCAGAAACCTGATAAAATGTCGGCTACCTTGAGAGAAGAAATGAGGCCAATATTAAAAACAAAGAAGGATGTTTTGACGATCTTCTTAGAAGTGTTACGATTTTAAACATTTCGATAATATTCATAGTTTGTAGTTGACTATATAGATCACTGATTTTTGGAAGCATTACCTCTAAAGGGAATTAATCAACTATTCTTAAAAACTGGACGTAAAAGTTTCTGAATTTGATATAATGAGACCAAAAATGGAACTGCTGAGGAAAAAATGAAAAACTTCGTGCTATCTTAAGAAGTGATGCAGATGTCGCTGGATGTATCAGAAAAAGAAAGAAGCCAAAAAAGATAGAAAACGTGTTTGTGAACCTGGTTTAGCGTTTAGCGTTCTTTCTGGAAAAAAAAATTATTAAAAAGTTATTATTTCTAAACACTGATTGGTAGCGAACTACTTCTATCTGATTTCATTTTTGGGGAAAACTACAGTGCCATGTTTTTAAGATATTGCAAACATATTGTTCACGATAATTAGTGTAGTCGGCATCCGGCGACTGCTGAACTCATTTAGATTTACGAATATTTTCACGTAAATTATACTCTTAAGTTACTGATATTTTAATTTAATCGACAGCGGGATTTCGGCGTCAGACAATATCACGCCTACAATCAATTTCCAACAACCGGAAACCGGAGCCGCCTCGTGATGTTAACTGCCGAAAAAACAATGATGCGAAAAATAACCCAACACCATCCCCCCTCCCCCATGAGCAGCAACGTGATGATCTCAGCTAGCGACCAATCACGTCATGCTCTTCGCAACATTTAAGAAGAACAAGTAAATAGGTGAGAAGAGGCGGGAGGGGCGGGAGATTTGCACCTGGCAACGGTGTCAATCTAGCCCCATATGACATTCTCAATTAGAACTTGAAAACTCGAGCCATCCTCACCTTAAACAAATAAATTCAATTTTTCGTGCTATTTCTGATCTTTTGCGTGGCTATCGAAATGAGAAGGGAAAAGTTCAAACAATTCGTTCAAAACCGACCACGTGACTTTAGTTTTTTTGTTTGAGATGTCAATTTTTTTTTGTGAGCAGCAAAATTTTGCCATAGCTTTACACTTGAAAAGTTGCACATGAGAGATGGTTTGGGGAATGTCTCACATGAGATTTCCCAAATGGACAGGACATTGCATCACCCTGATGTCTCTCAGCGGAAACTGATGTTGCAATCTGCAATCACGGTGGTAGTTTAATCGAATATTTCTGTTTGGGGAGGATTATATATCGTTATAAGTTTTTAAACGTGCTGAACCAATTAGTCAAATTGATCAAATTTGGCCGAAAGAAACACTCAAGTTGGTCGAAATAAAATACGAAATCTTGCAGTTTTTCTACATTGCATTATATTATATCTTTAGGGTTTGATAAATAGCGTGAAATCTAAGAAACTTTTGTTGAATACATGAAATTAGAAATGGCAACGACCGATTAATTTCGTAAAAGCTAAATTCGAATACAAAAATTTCTCGGAATATTTCCGCAAATGCCTAATAAAATATTTGCAGTTATTCACCTTATCTGATACCTGAAAAAGGTCGTTTAACGGAAATTTAGCGATAAGAGCACGTTTCAAGCAAGCTGTCAAAATGGCATCGCAAGAAAAACACATTATTGGCAACATTTTCTTATCAGTCTAGGAAATGAGTTCGCGAGGGTGGTGATTATTTCTGTTATCTCTTTTGAATCGTATAGTGAGTGACCAGCTTTGATGCAATCGAAACACCACCGCCTGCGTTCGAAACACTCGCGGACATGATGATGACAAATCACAGATGTTTTCGCCGGGCTCTATCTGATCTAAGATATCAACATGTCATCATGATCTTTAGTAATCAATTTAACGTGACAAAACTCTGCAATTTGGAGACATCTGCGAAACAGGGGCAATCGCAATATTGTTGCTTCGTAAGAAAGAAAAAAATGATAGTGATGAAGGAATTGGGAAATATATTAACGTCGATTTGGTTAAACGGAAAGTAAAATCTTATCTACGACCAATAGGTTATTTACCAAATATAAATACCTGCACATAAATAGGTTATAATGTGGAGGTAAAACCGAGACGTGACACCGAACGGAAGTGGATAACTACAGGGTGTCATTTAAGTTCCCGCACAACTTTGAAGACGTATATTTCTGAAACTAAAAGTCCAAATCAAACGAGACTCGAAATATTTTTTATCTATAGTACAACAAATAATTATCTATTAACTCTTTTCGATTCGGCCTCTTTTCGCAGCTATGACTTCGCGGAGACGCTTCGGGTAGGATGTGACTGTGGTACGCAGGTATTCGATGGAAAGATTGTCCCATTCCGCCAGTAATGTCTTCTTCAGAGCCTCTACACTTGAGTGGGGTTTTGCGATGACCTTCTCCTGCAAGACCCCATCACGGAGAAGTCAAGCGGGTTCAGGTCTGGGGAGCAAGCAGGCTATTCGGATGACTTGATGAAGTCGGGAAAATGGGTCTGGCACCACTCCTGAGTAGTTTTGGCAGTAGGGGCGGGTGCTCCGTCCTGTTGAAAGACCCATATCTTCCCACCGAAATGCGTTTGGGCCCAGGGCATCATATGCTTCCCCAAAATGTCCCGAACGTAGACTTCTTTGTTCACTTTCACCACCTGATCCACGAAAACCAGGGGCACTTCCCGGTTGAGCAGATGGCACCGAAAACCATCACACTGGCAGGATGTGAGGCTGGATGAATTGTTCTTCCTTTCTCAGAAGCTTTCTGGGATGTCTGGGCAAGTACTCAATGGTTTTGTGAGTTGAATGCCGCCTCCACAGTGAACAGCTTCTCGTCGGAGAAGACAGTGGCGAGGTGTTCTCCAGACCGCGTGCGAGCAAAAAGTCGTTTTGCTTTTTCGAAGCGTCTCTGCTAGTTGACGGCCGATAGAATTGCCGCTTTTTGGACGCGATATGGGGTCAGTCCAAGCTTCGTTTTGACCATTTGTTCCATAGCGAAGATGCTCATTCCCATGTCTGACGCCATCTTTCTTATGCTCCTGTGCGGTTTTCGCCTGATCCTCGTTTTGACGGCGTTGATCTTCTGAGGAGTGGTTACTGAGACGAGTCTTCCTTGTCTGGGAAGGTCACTGGTCGTATTTAGCTCCTTGAAACGTTTGATGGTGTCGCAAACCGTTCTACGAGGCACACCGACCCGTTGAATGATGTCTCTCGAGCTCACATTTTGCTTATGAAGTTCGATAATGGAAGCGCAATGGATGTTAGCCTTCGCCATTTCTCGGAAACACATCCGAATGAAGTGAAACTTGAAAAGTAAGTAAAATACACCTTATTTAACAAAAATAAATTGTATTGGTGCACGAAAAGTGCGACAGCCAAGCTTTTCATGGCGTCTAACTTTTGTGCGGGAACTTAAATGACACCCTGTAAGAATAAATAAGAATTAGAGATGTGTCAAAAGGTGACAATTGGCACCCATTACGATCAAAGTGCGTATAAATCGTCTAATCTCTGAGGACACAATGGGTGCAATATTTCTACGTCATCGCGTGAGAATCATTAACAGGTGCATGGATATTGCTTATAGGAAACAATAGGCAATCATTTGCGTCATCTTTGTTGTTATTGCATCACATTTATGACAATGGAAAATAAGATAAAAATCTGCAAAATAAATTTGAAAAAATTTTGCGATCAAATTTTGAACCTAGAAAGTTCAAATTTGAATTGTAATTATTTCTTGTTATTCAAAATCATGATTGAGCTTTTGAATGTTTCATCTCTCCGCTAATTTTATCGTTATCGTGAAATTCATATAATATTTTATGGCGTTAAAGAAATGTCACGTGACCGATGGGAGAGAGTTTGAACTCGCATTTTCGCAACATGTGTCCATATCATCGACTTTTGTCGCTGACATTCACATAATAGTCATGGTTAGACACTTCCTTCCTCCGAATATTCTAGCAAACGCATAATCATGCTATTATGATGATTATGACAATCATAACAACAGGACATCATCATCACACACTATCTCGTTTTGCGCCCGTCCGTCTTTTTGGCCGCCATTTGACAACGTCATTCCGTTGCAGTTGTCCGTCGGCCCACGTGGCCCGTGAGAAAGTGTCATAAAGCGGCGGGAACAAGGCGATGAGAAAGAGGGAATGCAATGCGAAGAGTGGCATGACGAAAAATTACGATACGCACGCGGTCGTGTTTCTAGCAAACTGTGTCTGATAAGCAGAATGATGTACAAGTGGCAAGAAGCCTATAATTGAACTGCGATGTTTTATCATTGAGTTATTTCGGAATTTATCAGTTGATTTGTTTGCATAGACAGATTCGAACCATTAGGAGGAAAATTGTAAAACGACGGGAAAATAAGTAAAAGACATCGTGAATATATGTTCTACAGATTTTGAGAAAAATTGAGTTCTCTCACTTGATATCGCAGATACTTAACAATTTTTTTCTAGAAACCTCTAATCTCTTATCTCTTCAAAAATGAACAGCATTTTCGCTAATTGCGTTATCTTTGAAAAATATACTCATTTAAAAAAAATCAACAAAGTTCTCAAAGCACATGCAAAAGTTATTTAAAACAAAATTTTCAAAAAACAATCAGTTAAAAAAGTTTTCAAAGCAAATTATATCATAAAATACTGTTAACACATTTAAAAAAAATTCACGTCGAGTTTTCATTAATAAAAAAGGCGGCAATACTAACTAAAACAATTTCATATTTATATCTGCCTTTATATCCTAATTTTTTCTTAAATCACTGGCTAGCAATGATGTACTTCTATCTTATTCAACAAATATTTTCATTTTAACATTATTTTTAAAAATCGACCAACATTTAAAATTGCTAAAGAAAAAAGGGCATTGTCGAAACAAAATTAAAATTTAAAACACCGCCGAAAACTGAAAAATGACGTTCGAGCCCAAGATTATTTTACTTGAGATTAATTCGATTATAGAAACTATTGGGATTTTGATCGCTTCATCTTTATTATGATATTAGAATTTATGCAGGTGTATGAAATTATGCGTAATCATCTGATTTGGTACGTGTAGGACATATTTCATTAAATACCAATGAAACAAAATTTGATGAAAAATTAGATCTTCGGAATTCGTAAAACATTCAGTTTCTATTTCTGAAATGATATAACCTTGATCTTCATCTTTTTGCCAATTCATATGTTGGCATGAAAATACTTTCCAACCCAGAGGACCGCAAATCAGCACTACCAGTCTTATTTTGCGAAACACTGACTCATCTCAGTCTCAAATTATTGTGATCATGCATGTACGTCTAATATTATTTTGTACCACATGATCAAACATTATTTTTAGCAAATTGCACTATATTTCATCATTCCATTGTTTACTAAGAAGGACCGGTCACGTTTGGCGTCGGAGTTATCTGTATGATTCGAAGGACTTCCTTCCGATTTATGAACACAGTCACTTAAATTTACAATGTTTCGCAATTGCTAAATATGGACAGATATACCACGCTTGTACTTTTGGATTTTTCACGTTTGAGAATGCGAATACAACAAGTGATAAGGAACAGGCTGTAGCTAAAACATTCTGATCGTGTTGCAATCATCCGGTGTTCAAGGGGATGTATAGTCAGCAGAAGAAAACAAACTGCGCCGAAAGTTGGAGTAATAAAATTGATGACTTGGGTTGAATCAAGTTGATTGCCAACAAAAATTTTTTCGCTTTTGAAAATGTTCAATGAAAATAGGTTAAAGAAAATTGAAATTGAACTAAATGTATTCAAATAACTTTATTAACTGGCAACGATTAAATTACTCAATTAAATTACTGTCAATGCTCTATCTATTTAACACTCAGTGATACATCAAATGTGAGCTGTGGTTCAACATTCTGCATGATACAAACACCTTCGATATTGAACACTCGACGGCATATTCAGGAAAAAAAGAGATCGTTTTTCACTACACTGCGATTTGTTCTCAAAATCGATTTATATGATTTACGAAAATACTCCATCAACTGTAAAAATCGAAAATTTTTTTGGAATTTTCAATTTCAGTCCTTTTCTACATTTTGCCTCTAATATCCAGAGGTTATCTGGCTGTTGGACAAACAGTGATGTACGAACAAAAATTAAAATTATTTGAGAAATTTTTGTACGAGTTCTATACCTCAAGTGCAAACAATTTTACCAGATTTTCATCATTTATACTTTTATTTATACTGTAAGAAGGTATTTTAGAAAGTTCCATCATTAGAACTATATCATTTGAACAGTGGTTTGTCATTAATTGTACAGTATTTCCAAACTGGTTAAACGAATGGAAAGATCAAATTTATACAAGTTCAAACTCTAAGATCATACAATTCGATTTATAAAAGATGCAATCAAAGTAGTAACACTACATATCTATATTTGGCATTGTGATCAACGCTCATTTCCCCATTGACCACCATTTGGTTTTCAAATACGTGATAAAATGTTTTACCGACTCTGCACGCAATTTCGAGGAAATATGTCATTCAGAAGAATTTTATCAACCGTGAAGCAATAAAAATTATTCAAAAACTTTGATTGACAAGCTCTGGAAAACTGAATTGGATAACACGTTTTTGTAATCGCAACATTCAAAATGATTTTGAGATGATGTTCTGTTCAGGTACACCTCGGTCGGAAATTAAATTTTAGAAATTTCGTCGGCGAATTCTTTTATCTTCGTTTTTAAAAACAATTGAAAATTACTTGTGTACACATTTTATTTTGAAATACATACAGTACTGGCCATAATGATGTACGCCTAATGTTTTTTGAGCATAACTTGGCACAAACGCGGCCGATCGAGCTGAAATTTTTACTGTGAACGTTAAACACAGTTGTGCAAGCATGTAGACAACAAAACTGCATCATGTTGAAAAATTAATTCAAACTTTGTCGATAAAAATTTTTTTATTTGAAATTTGAACTTGAAACATGTTTTATAGTAATTTTTCAACCTTCTGGAAACAAAAATTTCACGGCGGACGTTTTTTTTCGGGTTTCTGAGACTTTCAAATCGCATTGTGTCATTTTTTCCATATTGAGCATTTTTATGAAATTTATGATTTTTCAAAAAAAAAAAAAGTTTTCCTGCAGAATGCAATAACATTCGAAGGCGTTTTAAAGATGTGGTAAAAATTTCAGATGCTGGTGCATTTTTCGTGCCCCAATTTTATTATTTTTTTTTCAGCATGCTTTTTTTTCAGCATATTTTTTTTTACCCTTTTCCCAAATTTTCTAGTTCCTAGCTTCCTTTTTACTGGAATGGTAGCCAATTCAGTGCACCGAGGTACTGTAATCGATATGGCGACGTGAGGAAAGAGCGACAGTTACATTGCAAAAGCTCTCGGAATCTCTCGATCAACAGTTTGTAAAACCGTAAAACGATACAGGGAGCTTAACACACTTGAAAACCGTCCGAAAAGCGGAAGACATCGCAGTTCTATCACTCCGGAGAGGATCAAGGTGGCTAGATAACGAAAATCCGCACCGTAGTGTGAGTAAGATGAGCTTGGAGCTCACTATTAGCAAATCTTCGATGGAGCGCATGCTGAAAAAGAAGCTTGGACCGACTCCGTATTGTGTTCGAAAAGCTGCCGTTTTATCTAAAAAGAACAAAGTGGCCCGAATGCAAAAATTCGAATCTCGTCTTGCTGGCACGCACCAAAATGAACATTTGAAGACGCTGTTTACGTATGAGAAGCTCTTCACCGTGGAGGATGAATTCAACTCGCAAAATCATCGGGTGCTTGCAGCGGACCCAGACGAAGCCAATACGCACGGAAGAACGATCAACAGAATGTCTCATCCTCAACAAGTCATGGTTTTTGGGGCGATTACGTCTGATGGGAAGATGTCGCTTGTTTTTGTGGATCCCGGAGTCAAAATCAACCGTGATCACTACATAGAAGAAATTCTTAAGAAACACGTGTTTCCACGGACCCAAACACACTTTAGAAACTAGGTTTGGACAGTTCAACAGGACTCTGCTCCGGCTCACTCCGGCTCCGGCTCACAAAGCAAAAGTCGTCCAATCCCAGTGTGCCGCAAAATTTAACGGTTTATTTCTTGTTCAGAATGTCGTCGCCGGATTTGAACCCACTCGATTATACTGCTTGGGGAGTAGGGGAGTACTTCAGTCGAAGGTCCAGGCACATCCCTATAACAATTTGGGGTCATTGAAGAAAAGTTTGGTTGAGGAATGGGCCAAACTATCTCCAGAATACTTCCGTGCCACAGTCGAGGCATTCCCGAAGATTCAAGGAAGTAATGAAGAACGAAGGTCATCGAATCGAGTAATGTTTATGTATTTTTGTTTATAATTAATTCAATAAATTATTTGTGAATTTTCAAGTTGATTCGATCATTTTTAAAGTTACATCACTTTGAATGTGTTTCCATAATTATGGGCCACCCTGTATTTATTTTTGTGATAAATTGTAGGATTAACGAAGAAATATTCTTCAAAAATTATTTCATTAATTCAATACCCGCGAAGAATTTTCAGTTATACTGATTATATAAATTTTACGAAAATAAACGGTCTAATAAACATTTTTTTTTCAAAATTCTCATAAAATGTCAAACGTTGTGATCAACTTATTTTAGCTAGTAATTAAATTTGGCTTAAACATCTGAAATTTGAGGATAAAACGCATGATAAAAGAGAGTTCATGAGTTCGTCTGGAGCCATATTTTTCTGCAAAAATGAAACGGTCACGAAAATAGTTTTTTAACAATCTTACCAATTAACTGTTCTCTGGACATCGGTGTATAATAATCCTTAATCTTATCATTTATTTTATCCAACTCTTTTTGGATAATATCTGGATATTCGGAACCTTTCTCGCTGGAATGGTAGTTCTGCTTGTAGTCGTCAATCAATTTTTTGAACTTCTAAAAATCGAGCTACAAATTTAACACGAAAACTACAAAGATACCGTCAATTCTTTGTCTTCCAAAACATGAAAGTTTTTATTAATGACCAACGCCAACGCGTGAATAGCTTCAGCGTGCTCGTACGTAGCTGCTGCTTGCCGAGGCATGTAAGCTTTTGGTCTTCCATCCGGATGATAAAGAATATCGCTCAAAAACGTAAAACGCTTTTTATACTCTTTGATATCTGTATTCTCATTTGCTTCATGATTAAGCCAATTTCGAACTTTATTGATCTGAAACACTTGAATAAAAATAGTCGATTGCATAATTAATATTTACGTGAGTACAAATGACTTTCTTTTCTTCTAAAAATAAATGGCTTGCGTATTCCTGATCTGTTAACTTCTCCTCGTAAAAATCTGCCAAGTTTCTCAGATCAGCGATCGCATTTTTAAGTTCAGTTTTTTCTTTTTCTTTCTTCTCGAAAGCTTCCAACCTGTTAAATGTGAAATGATAATATGGAAATTCACAATACCTACTTTGTTTTTTCTTCTTCAATTTCCTCATCTGTCAAGTCGTTGAAATCGGTTTTAATTTCATTCACTTTGAGAGGAATATATGCGGTTTTTGAAGTTGGTGATATCGGTCTGTATTTCCAATCATGAGATGCTCGTTTGATTCCATTAATGATTGTCATTTCGTCTCCCGAACTCTCATGTTCATAATCATTGCCCGATCCATCGTATTCTTCTCCTCTTCCCGATTCCTGTGTTGCATTCTAAACATCAATACACCATGGTGGAAAGTTGATGTTTATCGTTTACCCGGATAATCATTACTCGATGATTTTCATCTTCATAAAAGTCAAAACCTAATTTTAGCTGTTCGTTCTCCCAGTCATCGAACTCTTGTTTGAGCTTCATGAATGAAGCCATATCTAAAATACTCACTGATTAGAGTTTCTTTTTCCTTATTTGCCTTCTTCTGTAGGTTTTATTTTAACAACGAGATTGGCCTGATTCACATAAGTAATTCCAGATGTAGTCGTCAAGAAATACACTCTAACTCCTTTTACAGAACAGTATTTACTGGTGATTCCTTTCTTAACTGCTTCTTCATAACCAGTTACTTCAATAAATGAATGATTTTGTCCGTCTTTGTATTTCAATTCAAGCTAAATTGGAGACAAAAATAGCTCATCACAATTTGCCCATTTATTACCGTAAAATTATCACGGTAAGCTGTGAAAAGCATTGAACGATTGAGATGCGATCGACTTCCTGAATAAATTATAACTCGGGCCGGTTGAAGTTCAGAAGATTCATGGCCGTAAAGATAATGCACCTGGAATATTGCATAAAAATATTAAATTAAAAAAAACTACGAAAAATTTGAACGATACTGACATTTCTTCTAGTCCAAAATGTTTTACACTTACATAAATTGGGTTGGTAAATTCCTCGATTACGCGAATATCGTTTGTTTCGAGTGGTTTCAAAATATTAGCTGCGTAAAAAATGGCTCCAATTGCATTTCTCGTTTCAGCTGCCCAGCTGATTTTGGTGTCATAACCGACGAAACACTTTTTCACGAGTTCGAAGATTCTTGGAGTTCTCGTTGCACCACCGGAAATCTCAGCCAAACGAATGTTTGACATTGACAGTTTTGCCATTTTGAGCGCTTTTGTGATTGGAAGACACATATATTTCTCAAGCCGGTCGATCATTTCATCAAGTTCATCTCTGGTGATCTTTAAAATACTTCCGTTTGTAAGCGCCATCTTAAAGAAAGAACATCTATAAGCGCTACGTGAATTAAATTTCTAATATACATATTATGTTAATGATAGAGCGAAGCATATTTATCATAAAGAGTGGTAATAAAAAAAGACAAACAACAGAATCTTCAATCAAGCCCCGTATTTGTGAGTTGCTTCAAAGCACATGGCTCAAAATTAACTTAGTGCCCTAGAAGCATTTTTTAAAGGAATTTTAGGTCATACTCAAGACGGTTAATCAACAATATTAACACCGGCTCTCTCTTACACTGTATCCCATATAATGTCGATGAACATATGATTTTATATATCCGAAGGTATAAAGCTGGCGAGTTAAAATATGTTTGATACGATCTGCTTCATTAAGCAATGATCTCATTGCAGTTGAACTCGATGTAAGGTCCTGTCCAGGTTCTTTGACAGCATTAAATATCTAAAAACATATCGCCTCGCTATAATATTGAATTATCTTTTACATACATCTAAATAACGTTCTCGGATTTGTAAAGTGACTTCGTGTCCTCCTAATTGTCTGTCATATCCGTATCCAACCGTCTGAATTGTTGGTATCATCCGGTTATCCTCTCCTTTTTCAAGATTTATCTTCACAATTGTTGCTATCGTCTGAAACGATTTATTTTATGACAAAATTTTATTTTCGTGTAAATAATCACCTTAGAAGATCCCATGTCATAGAAGAGGTGATAGGTTGGTTCCAATGTGATGTCATAAAATTTCAATGAAGCGTATGACACAGCGCTTGCTGTCCCCTCATATATAAACTAGACACAACATACATAAGGGATCTGAATTTTAACTAGCTAACCTTTAAGACATTCAATTCTGCAATTTTTGCAGCTGCCGCAACTGCACGGCGTTCAGCTTGAGAGAAGAAGATTGGAATGGTAATTATAGCATTCTGAAACATCAATTTTAAAGAGTCTTCGTCGTTGTATATACTTTAATGGGACGTCCAATCCGTTTTTCAGCGTTTAGTTTTGCATTCTTCAGAACCATTCCGACCACTGTCTCCACATGCAATGTTGTTTTTCTAAATTAAGGATACCATTGAACCGGACATTTCGCTCACTCGTATTCGCAGAACACGGCATTGCGTGTCTCGTTGATTCCAATAAGAGCATATGGAAAAGATCGTTTATATCTTGCCAAGGCTGGATCGCCATACTTTTTACCAAGACACAATGGTAGAAATGGATAAGAGGTTTCAGGCCCTACGTTAGACTGCAAAATCAAACCCTATAAAAGATTGACAAAATACGCATACATAGTTGATGGCGTCATCTCCAAATAAACGAGAGTCTTTGTCGAAGGCAATCATGTTTCGAAAGGTATTCGAAATGCCATTGAGTTTCAACAGTTCAACAACGCGACCAGGCCCGATAACTCCTACTTTCAGGTATTCAGTTCCAAGATCGATGACAATTGCTGAATTATCAGCATCCTCTGCTTCTGCAACTGAATTATTAGTCAAATATGGCCGAAAGACATCCTCAATTACCGGTGATATGGATGAACAACAGTAGACCAGCAAAGAGAGCCGGAAGGCAACCGACCTTCTTCAGGATCATCCCGAGGAATGAAATGATTTCTAGACAGCTTTACACCAATCGCAAAGACGGTCCCACCCCTTTCTGTGTTTACATCAAGATTTCAGACTAGATATCATTATATCAATAGAGAACCGTCGATTAGAGAAAGTTTCGACGGGGCGTATATGCTCAATAGGGGGGAGTCAATGGTTCGAGAATCGAAGACGAAACAAGAAGATTACGACGATGCTGATCTCTCATACATTGAAACATCACAAACCAATCGACTGTTGTCATTTAAACGACAAAGAGATGAACACATTTAAAGACAAAAAGAATATTCAGAATAAACCATGTTTGCTATATGGCCTCAAACAATTGAAATTTATTTGCAGAAATGACTACCGTTCTTGATATTATATTTTAAATGTGAAAATTTAAAGAAAAAACATGGCTGACAACTTGCCAATTTCATTAATAATGGCCGTCTGCAAATCTTAGGCCATATTTTTTTTCGCCAAACGACAAATGTGTAATTACGATATACCATTCCATCAATTAATCATTGGACTTTGCTATTTTTTCTATGTGTTTTGTTAATTCTGTAAGATAAATTTTTGTAATCCTTTTTGTCTATCCCTCTGTCTGTCCATCACTCTCTCTGTCTGTCTGGGTGTCTATCTGTCTGCTTATAGTTTAAAAATATTTCGAAAAAAAATCGCACAGCCGCGTTCTTTTTTTTTAAAGTACTACGCTCCCCCAGTTGAAGCGTTATCGCATGATTTGCTAGTCGAAGAAAATCATTGATGATAACTGCTCGCAGGGAACAAATATAAAATATAATTTTATTTTATAGCCAAAAATTCCAATGTACTCACTCTCTTTTATAGTCTAACCTATACATTTCATATCACTTATAAACTGAACAAGCACTGTTATTTTCTGACACATTTCTCACAATCGCAAAATAAAAAGCAAAATAATGAAGCAAAATGATTCTTGTCGGGCAGAAAAGTGGTGGCAAACAATTTGAAATGACCGAAATTACTCTTGACCCATTTTTACTACATTCATTTTCTTTTATAAAACCTCCAAATACAGCAAAATCGAGAAATTGATAAATTGTTCGAACAACATTGGATCATTTACGTATTTTATTGGATTAGAATCATTTTATAAGATTATTGCCCCACAGATTCCACATCGTCCTATTATTATGATGATTATAAAATTATATATTTTCGATGGGGCATTAATATTATTTCAACTTAAAATCATGACCCTGCAACAAGTTTTTCGGGAAAAAAGAAACTACTCTAAAATCAAAAGTGAAATGAACTATTTCTATTTCTGATTATTATTGAATATTGAAGTTTATAATTCGTCGGTCCTTGACAATGGCATTTGCGTCGAATATTGTCAAATTTATGTTGAATGGTAATTTCTGGTTGATGATCGTGATTAACCAAAAGCAAAATATTATATGAATTTTGAAAATAATAATAAAATATTGGCTATGCACAAGACTGCGTACATTGCGTCATAGCATACGCGCATTTACAATTTATATAACGATAAATTTAAATATGCACTGATTTTGCGAATTTGAATGCAGGTCGCATTGAAGTCGCTTGAGACTGACAATACTTAAAACAACTCAACAAGTGAAAAAATGCTAAAATGACCATGTATGCTTTTTGAGCCGTTTTCTCAAAACCCAAATTCTGATGGCTCCGAACGCTCACATCGCGTTCCGTCAACGATATTTCGGCAGGGATTCGTGTGTTTTGTTACGTTGTGAAGTCTCGCGTTCGTGATAAATCACATAGTTATCCGTCTACTGGAGGAGATATTCGAAAAAGATTTTCACGGCAGTGTTGATTTTTTTTATCACTATCCTCACGGGTAAGCTTTGGTATCTCATGATTTATCTTGTGGCAGGGATCAACATTAATATGAGCTTATATCAGTGACGTGGGATTTTTTTTAATATTAGCGCTTGTTTTATTCAATATTTTTATCTAAAAGCTTTTTGTGTTCCACATGTTTAAGTATATGTATATGTAAGTATATGAGAAGAGCAAACAGGATTTGTAACTGCACCTTGTAAGATTTTGGAGAGATCAAATATAATAACGACGATATATGGGAAGAAAATCACAATGAATTCTAAAAAGCCAGAAATATTCCAATCACAATAGTTCGCGCTGTCACTCTCTCTTACATGATATTGTAAAGGTCCTCATTTAATTCATATCGCAGTTTCCAGGAATATAAATACTTGTTTTCAATTCTACTAATATGAGTTCCGTCTAAAGAAAGTCAAATTCTCGGCTTCATTTAGTGAAAATATTCCAAAGTTTATACAATTTCTGAGATAATAAATATGTCTGAATCGGCTATAAATCAAAGAGTAATTATTAAAAATATCGATTTTACTTGAATTTATTTGAGTTTTGTGTATACAACTCTTGTGTGCTCCAAATATCCCACAGTTGGATGTGTCGCCGTTCTCATCTCAATAACTTGTTCCATGTAACGATCATCATGACGAATAAATGTTCGTCGAAGCTGGAAAAAAGGTGGGAAATAATAAATATTATTATTCACTTCCTACATCCTCAACAGGCAGATCTCGGGAAAACGAGATGCGTCCGATATCTTTCAATGTGAGAACCAGTTTGTTTGGCGAAACAGTGCCAACCTCGTATGTTGTGAATCCTATAATCAACTTTGTCGTTGCAAACTTTTCTCTTTCAATTTCACCGTTATTTCCAGTTGTCATAAGTGTCGCATTTCCCGATGGATCAACAGTAAGGAATCCCCATTCATCGTGGAAATGGTCCTTGGTAGAATGAGACCATGCACGAGCCCTGAATTAATTAAATTAGCGGCGGAACTGTCAATCAGTGTCATTCTATTGCTTCCTTCTTCCATCTTATCCAGTTGCTAAATGATAGAAGGAAGTTTATTCGTCTCCGTTTTCACTTTCGTCTATTCATTTGGTATCAAGTGAGTGAAAAAAACAGTGTAAAATTTTAGTGAAAACCGCAAATATTTCGAATCGAATCCATATACTCACGAGAAATTGAGGAACTGAACATTTGCTGATTTGGCTATTGGGGCTTCATTGATCACCAGCTCCTCGCCAAATGTCATCGTTGGAACAGTTGGCCAGAAAATCTGAAAAAAAAAATGTTTCAACGACGTATTTTGATGGATGATGGAGATACAAACTTTTCCAGAAAATTCCGATCGCCACTTGCCCACAATCCATTCGAGCTTTTGATTATAATCGTTAAGCGCCTGAATAGCAAAAATATCTCATATTTGAATATTATTGAAATATTCTACCTGCTGTGTGAAAGATATCGATAATAATACGAGAACTGAGCATAGGTAATGGTGACTTCTTAAAGAAAGCATGGTCACAACACTGCGTCCAATGATGACGATCCGACGAAGCGAGGCGCGGCGGTGTCTGACGTGCCTACGTCCCGAGACCGGTCTACCATAGTCGGTTTGACGTGTCTACGACTCCACCTTTGTTCAACTATATGCATACTAACGCGAATTCTCTGTCTCCTGAACGCTTTTCTCAACGACGCCGCGTTCAATCAATTCGCCTTTGCATATGATCATTTTGCCACTCGCGAAACCTACCGTTCCACTAAATGCGGGTTTCAGATCCAATGAGGTGTTCCTCACCAATGCCTAGTTTCCGTGTTAGTGATCCAATTAAAATGTGATCTAATAATTTTTTGGAAATGGGATAGTGATTAAGAAAATATTGTGTACCTTAAATAAAGCAATTAATATTATTACCGTTATTGTATACGTGACAATAAAATTTGCAAGGTTGTTCGTTACTGTTTCTTTCAAAGTTTTTTTCAAAAAAAAATTATTTTCCAATTATTTTTCCAGATGTAATTTGCATATGTATGGTAAAACAAGTAACAATAAACATAACAAAATTTGACATACGTCCATAAAACGTGTTTCAAAAAGACCATTTGCGGATTGTTGTTGAATGATGAAGTGCGAATATTCGCGCAATGACATGAACAAAAATCTAAAACCGTCATTGATATTTTGAAAAAAAAAATCGAAATCATATATTCTTCATTTCAAAATGGCAACACAATTTTACTTCTAGTGTCTAGTCGTATATGAAAAACATTCATCCTATCATCATATATTATATAATTAAAATTTTCTTTGCTAATGTAAATTGTGTGAAAATAAAATTAAAAATTTCGCATCTTTATTTTGCTATCGTATATTTTCGGTTTTAAATGACTGTCAAAATATAAACTGCACGTATGAGATGCGTATGCATATGAGAGTATGCAGGCACGCGCAAGTCTGTTTGTCTCGAAACATCATTTCATATAGATAAATTGCTTTTGAATTTCGATACGTGATTTCAAGCCGAACGACAACCCAATGCGAAGAAATTATAATTATATACAATGAAATCCTAACCCTATAAAAGGAAAACGTTAATTTTGTCATGTTTGAATAGAGGTCTCACACGATTTAAAAAAATTAACAGAGCTCTATATAGTTTTATTCAAACAATTTTTCGAAATCAGATTTGCCGGTGATAATTATTTATAGGATTATCTCGAAGTTTTTGAAAGATGAAACTTGTGATTTTATCTCAACGGTGAATTTTCCTTCTCTCACACGTTCTACAACAAATAACATTCGATGAATTGTGAAACGTACGGTCAAAACGATTTTCTCGTTTTTTTTTTTTAATGCAATATCGGAAAGTGTTGATTTATCCAACCCGACGAGATCATTTAAAAAGTGTATTTTTAGAAACTGGAAAAAATTACACATAGTTCACATAAAAACATAGTGTAAGACCGACACCTGTGAATGGTTTTTTATTCGTCATGATGCTTCGTCAAGCGACCGTATTTTTTATACTCGATGCCAGTTGTTGCATTTTCGTTTGATAGTGAATGTGGATGTGTGCCGTCGTCGTATGTATCGAGAATCACATACACCATCAAAGAATTGAGAAGAAAAAAAGAACGTCCAATAATCCAAAGAGTCACACCAGATGTTACATGAGAAACTGACTGCTCCAAGTGTAACTACATTTTCTTTAATTTTATATTCCAATGTGGAATTATTTCCCTGACTTTCCTCTTTTGACTTAATGTATCGATGACGGAATTATAACAAATATGGTCTTGAAAATACAATATAATACGAAAAGTTACAAATTTCCATGAAAGAAGATGGGAACTAAGAAATTGCAAATTAGCTTACTAAGAACTAAAATTTTTAATAAAATTTTAATCTCTTTGGGCATAACACTATAAAAAAGCAGGTTGAGCTGATTTTGTATATTTAATTGTTGGTATATAATCAATAAAAAAATATCACATTCCAACATCTCTTGCAATGTGTTCCAATTTTCCTTCGATCACATCCTACATCATTTTTTGTAGTTTTCTAGTATGGGTCTTTCGATAAAAATCAATACGCTAATGAAACTAATACACTGGCAGAGATTAAAAAATGACATTCTCAGTTTCTCTACTGTTTCCGATAATGATTGTCCTTTATTAATCAAAATGAAAATACTGTAAAGTACCAGGGTTTTTTTTTACCTTGTTAATATCTTATATTTCTTTGCATATCTAAGCATACGGTAAAATAAAATAAACATTCTAATGTTATTTAATCTCATAAAAACCATATTTAAGTAATTGGTTCATATGATTTGAATCTGCACACTTTTATTCAATATTTCGTAATTCAATCCTATATTTGATTTATACTTTTTTTGCATCGGTTTTATATTTAGCACAATATTAAGTTTTTAATAGTAAAACTATCGCAAAATTATGTGTTGTTATTTTTTTCGAATTTTAAAGTTTCGCTGAGAGTCTTATTTTTTAAAATTTCGACAGTCAATAATATTTGTTTACTCTATCGGATAGCTATGACAGTAACTTGGCGAACGATTTACGTAAGCTGCAAAAGACAAAGTCAACATCGATTTTGCACTTGAAATAAAACTTTGCTAGATTTCATATTTGTCTCCCAAAAAATATTGTGCATCAGTTTTCCGTCTTAAAAGATGATATAGGAAAAACAAAGAAACTTCAGTGGTTTTTTCTTGAAATGTTGATTGATTGCGACGTTTGGCCGAGGATTATTAATTACTGCTATCTGCTTCGTCGTTCTGCCGCAACTATGTGAACCAATGTTTTGATAACTGGGGGATTTATCGCAGAAGAATCTAAATCGAATTTTAAGCTTAAATCCAAGATTTGTGTTGAATTGAATAGAATATCTTCAAATAAGGCAACTAACTGTTTTGTAAATTTAATATTCTTTTTGTTTCTTTATTGGATTATTCAAATAATATTTAAAAGATAAAAAACGTATTAATTTTTTATTCAGTTAAAAATTAAGAAATGCAATTAGGTAAAAAATATGACTGAAAATTAAATTTGGAACAGTAAATCGTTGAGCAAATCATGAATATATATACTATATACTGTCTGCATCCAGAAAATAAGCATTTGTTTTTTCGTGTTCCTGCTCAATTTTGTATCGTGCCAACTTGTAGCATTTATATCAAAATTTAAAATGCCACATATCAAATTCGTAAAACGAGATTTATTCCATTGTTTTCGACAATTCTAATTTCATTATTCATTAATCTAAAATTTTAGTTAATAACATATGTTCCGCAAAGTTGCGTGGTTGTCTGAAATAAACTCTTGAACACATCGATTAAAAAAAACTACGAACAATTGTATTAATACATGCATTTTTTCTATTTGCCCTACAAAAAATGAATCAACTGCTTTATTTTTCATGAGATATTCTTATTGTACAATAGTGATGCTTACCTTAATATTATATGTCTGGCAGTTTGTATAAACAACACTTGCCTTTTTAATCATCTTGTGACGGTTCAACATTTTTTATTCGCGTGACATGTACAAGAACGTGCCCAAGATATATAACACTGTTTATGCACATGACCTACTATATGTATATATGCACATAATGCGGGCGACATCTAATATAAATTTTAACGATGCAGCGAAACTTTCACACCAGATATACAATTTAACAATATTTGATGATATTTTAACAATTTTTTTCAGTAAAACGGTTCATTGAAATAATGGAATCAAAATTTGTATATAAAATTGATGTCATAACGTCATTTCGCATGAAATTTTTCAAGTAAATAATTTATCGATGACTATGAATGTTCTAGATTTTTTACGCTTTTTTTGTCGAAGTATTTCGCTATGATACGCTCGATTGCTACTATTAAATGTGAAACGATTTTGTTGAATGCAACGAGGTAGATGTGAATGTTACAACAGCGATGCAATTATTAAAACAGTTTCACGTGGAGGCTGACGCTCCAAAAAATGCATGGCCGTGTGCTCATGACATCCACCGTAGAATTCGCGTTCTTCATTTTGCTCTTCACACATTTCATGTTATATTACACTAGTTTCGAGCACACGCAATTCTCTCAAAGTAAAACTATTTTGTTTCCATCAAAAAATTCCCCTACGACCAGTTATGGGTTTATCTTAATTACGGTAGCTCATTAAAAGTTAACACGTTATTGTCGCGGTATGTTATATCGTTGAATTAAGTTTAATAAAACCACATGTTAGGAACAAAGACCTACGCTGATTTCACTCCAAACACATCAATAAATAAAACATCATTTACAACTCACCTACTTTTGTCCTTTTTTTTTCTTTTAACGATTGAACATCATTTTTTTGCAGGTGGGTGTTTCTCCCACCTAACAGCGCAAGTGTGATGAATTGAGCTCCATCAATATATCCAATATCCTTGGCATGTCGTGATCTCATGTTCCGTTCGTTTTTTTCCTGTTTTCATGAAACTCGTCATATCATGTCTCTCAAATGCCCTCATCTTACTGCGATCGGAAAATTTTTCTCATATTTTTCAAATATCTCGCCAGTCTGACTTCTGATCAATCTAATCCCACTAAACACCATTTTCTCTTTTGCTTGTATCGCTTAATTAATGAACAAATGTCTCATTGACCTGTTATTGCAACACTGAACGCTTCATGATGACGGATGATATGACTATCTTCGGCTATCTCGAACAAACAAACAGATCTGAACAGTTTTTTTTCGGCCGAGATCTAATTATCCTTCAACGCATTTGAGAAATTCTACAGTTAGTCAGAAATATTTTGTTATAAATATAATGTAAGTTTTTTTTCTGTAAATCATTTTAATAGTTAACAATTCTCGAAAAAAAAAAACGACGTTTCAACAATTCTACGATCGTTGCAAGTGACATATATAAAGTCCATCGTGAGAGTGACTAGTTTTTATTACCTAAAATTTTCTCGTTTCATTTTTTTTAGCTATGAAACAATGCAA